ACAGTTCAAAATATATGAACTTTCATATATTCATTGTATCTGATTTTTTTAACATGTCAAGCAGCTTGTGTATAATTGGTCGGGACTCGTTGCAGACGTTTGTAGGAAACTCCCATGAAGGTAACACAGGTTCTAATACAAGTAATTTCCATTTCTTCGAATACAGCTATTAAAAATCGGTTACATCATCAGTAAGTGGGTAGAACAATTCAACAACCTGCAACCAGTCTTTAATAAGCTGGGTATCCTTAACTTCTTAATAACTTGAAGACCGTAACAGAAAAAAAATTATAAAATTTTCGTCCCAGCCTTTCTTAAAAGATTCCGAAAAAAAATAGAAGTGCATAATTAAAATTACTTGCATAAGATACATACATAAGAAGCCAAACCTATCTTTTCTCTTTGAACACGTAATAAATGTGACATCAGAAAATACAATTATTTTAGGGCCTTGAGTGTTGGTCTAGCCGGGGCTTGAACCCTCGACCTCCCGTACAACAGTCCAGCACTCTATCCATTGGGCTAACTGGGCGGCAGTTACAATGTACGTTACGAAATATATACTACAAGTAGAGCCAAATGCAGTTTTACAATAATTTCAAAAAACTAATCTACATCAAAGATTTTGCTACAGTTGACTGACCAGACCCTGGATAAAATTAATTTTGACCATCAAATCTGTATCACATCCTTTAAAATCACAATGTACAGTCATTTATTACAAGCTTAAAAATTTAAAATAGTTATCAAATGAAAAAATTAAAGTCAATATAATGTCTAGCCATTCCATCAAGAATATATGTTGTCCCAGTGTATTGATCTTTGTTTAAATTTTACACAAAGTAGTTAAAAATTTATACAAATGGATGATAGAAGACTGTACCTGTATCGGATTCCTCCTACTTGCAAGAGGACTCCGTCCTGAAATAGTTGGTCTGGTGTTTGCCGAAGTTGATGGAGTAGTCCTTTTTGTTGCAGCTTTACTTGTGACTTTTGAATTAGCAGCAGAACTAGATGCAGTATCTGAGAAACTTGACTTTTTAGGAGGTACTGTTGAACTTCTTGTTAAAGGTAGTTTCTTCNAAATAATGACGAAGAAACTATACTGGTAAACAAAATATTTCTGAGAAGAGAAAAGGGTAATAAAGACCATTTCAGCTTTGCTTGTACTTACAACCGAACAAAGAGAGAACCAACGCAAACGTCTGAAGGCAGATGGTCTCTCTTTCAGTACATAACCTTTCCTAAGAGCAAGCGGTCAAAATCCCAATGTGGGAGACTAAAGTCCTTTAGTTAGATCAGACCTGATTTTGTATACCTGAAACATTTTCACCTGAAACTATATCGTGCTGGTTACTTAAAAAATACAGCCTTAGATACTAAGGGATAAAACTGAAGATCTCTATCAAAGGGAGGAAAATCTTGAGTTCAAGTGTTATGAGTTACTGAAAAAATGAATCTTACCCCACAGACACCGTGCTCAAGCTCTCCTTGTCAAAATAACGCAACTTGTGTTCCAGATTACAGTGAAGACAAATATCACTGCGATTGTCTTCCCGGATTTAGTGGAAAACTGTGTCAAACAGGTATACCGTGAAGCTATGAATAGCTTTACAAACAATTAATCATTTTGAAACGGTAGAGATGGATAAAGTGTGGAGAAATATTTTTGGTGAAGCAAGATAACCATTAAGTTGAGCAGTGTACGGGTGCAGTATTCTGTTATGGTATAGAGTAACATCAAACCTCGCGTGTTAGTCTGATTTCATAAATGAGGTTTTTTTTCTCAGTATGTTGAACCTTTTTATGAGATGCAAGCTTCTAATGAGAGCATCACTTTTAACTCAGAGCCATAGACGACAAGCTTCGATTCCTCATGAGGGCCCAGAATTGTCTATTTTCCCACACTCCTGACAAGACAAAAAACATCTTTCTCCATTTCCTCGCCGAGCTCAAAATTTACCATTTTTCTTATTCTATTAAAAAAATCTAAGATATCTCCTGATCATATATATATATATATATGATCAGGAGTTATATGTATATATATATATATACATATAACTAACTAACTGCAGACAGAACTGTTTCGGCCTTCTGGGCCTCATCATATATATATAACCACAATAGCGGAGTGAGATCATCATCTACTAAAAAGTGCTCAATAGCAGGGCTAGAGCTATGGATAAATATACTTCAAGATTTAGGTTACTTGAATTTTTACTGCAACTCTGAGTTTCATGCCTCTTACGAAGCAATCGTCAGGCAACTGCCAGAAATAACGGTTACAATCCACCGAAATTTAAAAGACAGAACAATGTGTACATGCGCGCGCAACATACTGCACGCGCTATCGTAACGTTACGTTCTTTAACAGGAATTTCCTGACATGTCTGCAACCTGATGCCAGCTCATTTCTCTTGTTTAAACTTGCCATCTGCGGTTTACAAATGATAAAATATTTTTCCCACAAACACAAATTGCATCTTTTAGCTACATTGGAATACGAACTAGCTTGTTTCACCTTGCGCCACTTAATATTAAACTTAGTGTCCTTATCTTTAAGACTCCATATATATTTGCT